ATTTATTTGTTAAACATGACCAGAATCTTTTTTTGGTTCATTTTTTGTCATACTTTGACGCTGGCGTCGGTCAGCTCTTGGATTCTTCTTTAAAATCCTTCTGGTAATCTTCATAGAATCAGAATGTCGTTCGCAAATCGCTGGTGGCTTTAGTTCTACGCATTTATGTTCATTACCTGATTTTCCAAACGAACTATCTTGAAAACCTCTGCTAACGTTGCTGTGCATAAGTTCAGTGATAGCGTATAACCCTGCAGACGCCTTACTCGATTTTGAACTTGCTTGTATTTTCGCGAAGTTTCACATTAGCAGTTGCATTCTTATAAACGATGGTAATGAGGTAGCTGTAACCCGTTGTAGCATCCCCTATTACGTTGAGGTCTTGCAAGTAAAACTTTAAGAATGAACGGTTTTGGTAATGCGCTCAAAACTGGTTTTGCCCTTTTTCGACATATTACGTTTATTATCTGTTTTCGCTTTAGTAGAATTGTCGTACGAATATCTTGACTACTTTAAGCAAGATAGTCGTTTTTCGACACATGTCAAAAAGGCTCGCCACTGGATTGCAAATGATTTAGTTTGATTTTTGTTTGTTTTAGAATGATTTAACATCGGTTATTGTCCAGTCATGGACAGGGTGAACAGCAGCGCCATTCGGAGTCTCGCTGCTTACAACGATGACTCGGACGACGACTCTGAGAGCGGATCCGCTTCCCCAGCGGCGACAGCTTCGAGCCCGAAGGACAAAATCCTGCCGGTAAGAAACAGACGTCTTTGCTTAGATAGTATGGTTAAATGTAGCACTGTTTCTGTTTTGCGTTAAGGGAAAACAAAGCCCACGTCAGAACGCGTCTGCAGCTGTGTCTAGCGCTGAAGAGATGGGGTCCGGGACTGGGACGGGAACAGACGCACACAGTTCAGCGACGAACTCTCCATGGATTTCCGACTATGAGGGTAACTCGCCTACCGGTGGTGATCCAGAGGCCCCCAGACGACCGCAGTTCTACCACTCGCCGTCGAGCGCTGCTTCTTATCCCAGCGAGACTCCCAGTTCATTTACGCGTGAGTCAGTGACCCTATTTTGGTTGCTGAAGTAAATTTTGTTCCCTCACCATTTTCGTTTCAACGAATTTCAGTGTCTCGCATGTCGTCGGGGATCGCCCTTGTGTCATACGGCGCAGAGGACGACGAACAAGGTGACGACAGACGCAATTCAATCTCGGCGAATGATGATGCAGTTATCGAAATGTTGGACGAACATGTTGAACAGGTGCTTTCGGTTACCGCGATTTCGACGGCAAACGATGACTCGCAGCCACCGCTAAAATTTGAGGTCGGCGATATGCCAAAAAGGGTAATGAAAAGTGAAGACGAAGAAGAAATCGACGTGGATGTTCTCCTCGAAAAACCGCTAGCAAACGGTAAGGTTTTTATGCTAAAGTCACTCGATCTTTAGAGCATTAAATTCACAATCAAATGATTGTGATTTTATGGGATCCCGATTGAGGCAGATCGCCTTTCTTCTATCCAAGTTGATTCAACAAAATTTCTTGGGAAAGAAATGGATAGTTTGTAGTAATCGTAGAAAACTGTGGCTACCTGTGCAATAAACGATTTATTATTGTCAGTGAATAAAGCAAGAAAATCGGTCTCCCACACCGAACTCGCAAAGACTAAGTACATGACCGTCTGTTCTCGCAGAAGGCCGAAGTGTCCAACGAAAATGAACTGAAATGGTAATCAGTTACATCTATCTGGGACCTAAAATCAGCATGTGGCACGGAGGGAGAATATTTTTGGAGCCGAGAGCTAGGCGTTGTGATTAAAACGCTGTTCATGAAATCGTCAGAGGACGGTTCCTTAAAGACTAATTCGAAACCCTTCAAAACCACAATACCGCCGGCAGTGGTGTATGAGCATTAAACGTGCTTCCTAACCAATCGAGGTGAAAAACTGGTCGTTAACAGGAAGCAATGGAAAGAAGAATTTGTAAAATTTCCAGAAGAAATGGAATAGCACATGAACGGTTCAGAAATGAAGGAATTTGTGACGGAAGCAAGAAGAGCTGATAAAATATACTCAAACGACAACAGATGCATTTCATTCATAGTCGATGATATACAAGGGATATAAAACGTAGCAGGGGTCGATCATCAATGAAGTGATGTGACAATGCGCGTTTGAAAATGTGATGAATAGTTGGTGCCCGGCCAGCTATCCTAGATGTTTGCGGATATCTTATCTTTGACATCACGTTTTAATATTGTCTCATAATGAGAATCCCCGAGTTACCACGTTGAGGCGATTCTGTGTCAAACATCCAGCATCCCTAATGGCACATGGCGATAAAAAGCATGGAGATGCTTTAATCCTTTGCGACATCCAGTAAGTGAAATTTAGATCAACCAGTAATGAAATATCTCGGTTTCTCTTGGAGGAGGCGGAAAACGCGTTACAGGGAAGAATGCTCCAGATCTTCCAAGTTGTACAATCACCTAAGCGAATAACGGAGGGACAAAAATGAAAAGGAGGCAGGACACTTCACGTTATTTTGACCACGTGCCTTCAGAAATAATATGGCATTCTTAGTTTGTGATAGCACGACGAAGACCAGCACCACATAGTAAGTTCCTTGGAGGAAAATCGGCTTTTACTAATCATGCGACTTCACCAAATCTATGTCATAACGATTATGTTGCCTTCTTTAAGAAAAACATGATTGAAATGAGGGCTTTTCATACAGTTTTCACTTGCTATTTCTAAAAAGTCTTATCAAAGATCAGCTGTGTTCGCTGAAACGAATTTCCGCCCAGCAAGTGAAGGTCATGAAAACTTTCGAAGATCGGAGATCCTCTATGTCTCAGATTTGATACCGAGGTAACTTGTTTGAACCTGATTTGAACGTGTTATGTGAAAACATACCTGACTGCCTTCATCAGGAATCTGAACAGTGATTGAATAATCTTTGCGCTGCAATGAATGCTCATTTCTACTGGCGATACTAATTCTGTGACATTGATGAAATTGCATACATGCATACAGAGTGCCCAACTGTTTGTTCTGGTCTCGCATCTAGTTTGCATGATCATGCTTTCAGTGGGTCTTTTGTCATGATTTAACCGATGTGACAGCTGTGATTAATGAAGTCCCTAAATTGGCCATTTTCTTCAAGTTGTCTATGCTTTTCGATCAGAAAAAATTCAGTTCTCAAAACAGGGTCAGTATTGTTCAAATATCAATATAAGATGTTGTAAACCTGGAGGACAGCGGGCACCCGTTTGACAACTAATGGCGACCACTGCAACTAAAGGCAATGAACTGTACCTTACCTCGCCCTTATATCCCTCCCTCTACTTTTGTTGCTGCATCGAGAATATTGGAATGGCTTTCTGAAGGTCTCTTGCCACTATCCTTCAACCACCCGAGTAAATGTATGGTGGTGACCTGGCACATTATATCAAAAATTGGACAGCTTATTTAAAGCAGTGTTTTTCAATGAGCATTTAACCCGCATTGCGATTATTTCGTGGCACTTTAATCTGTTTGCTAATTGACTATGGTGGTCATGCCATACTTGAGCAGGAAACAGACTGCGCGCCACCTTAGGTACTTCACTTAGCTGCCGGTGTGGTCTGCAAAAGTAGATCAGTTCTGACTGATGACGTATTAACGGAAATTGGCACATGT